TTTTTGGAAAGATACTCATGTGGGATTTTGGGAACCGGAATTATGGAATTAAGGAATTTATTGTTACTTCGGTAACATTACATTCAATTGTTTAGCAGAAAATCGGATCAAACATATGTATTTTCATGCATATTTACGAAAATTGTAAAAAGATAACTGGCACCAATGCCAAATTTATTCCACCTCTAAAGGAACCAGATTACCGTGTCAAGCTGCGTTGCTTGAATGGTCATGCTCTTTGGTCGGAAGATATTTATACAAAATGTCAACCGAGTGCAGTGACATTACAACAGCAAGTAAGAGAACAATCAACATTGACTGCATTCCTGACTCGATTGATTGTTTTATAATAACTTTTGTAGCAATTTTATATATATCATAAAAATTATGGAATTACGAAATTTTTGTTGAGAATGGTTAATACCCTAGCCACGTGATCTTAAATATGTTCATTAAAATATCCGATTAATATTAGATATCAAGTATTAGGGTTAAAGCTGAGATCAAGGTTATATATAAAATTGTCTTCTCGACATTTTTTGATAGTGTGCTAAGCTAGATTTAGATATCTGTTTTTTATATTTTTTGTCTTTTCTTATTTTCTTGTGCCGGATCTGTTTTGCCGGGTTGTTCAAAAATTTGCTACATTCCTATTGGTTGCGCATAATTTTTGCGCATTCTTATTAGTTGGGTCTGACCAATATTACGTGACCGGCACTTTATGCCGTGGCTAGGGGTATGATAGATCACATTAGAAAGAAATATAGAAACAGCGCATAATAATAGTGAACAAGAACTTGATATTTCAGATGAAGTATTAGAGACTTCAAGTGATAGTAACGGTAATAGCGATACGTAGTTATTAAATATGTACATGTACATGTATATTGTTACCGTGTAGCAAATTTCGTCGATCTCGTAATTTCCGGAGCTCACTCGTTTCGATTTCAACAATTTGCTTCGTCTATCCGAGCTTCTCTGTGTAAGGTTCTACTTAGATTCCATAATACATGTACATGTACATGTAGTAATTCGCTTTTTCTCCGTTTTTCGCTTTCAAATATCACCCATTTTTCGCTTTTTTTTTTAAATTCGCTTTTGTTTATCACAAATTTTACGTTTTAAAATTCGCTTCTAATTCTTTCTTTTTTTTTTACTCACGAATTCGCTTTTTGTTTATTCGTAATAGTAAATTTGCTTTTAGATTCATTTTTGTTTATTTTGCTTTCAAATTCGCTTTAAAATTTTCTTTTCATTTCACTTTTGTTTCCCACCCTTAGTTATATTTTCAATTTCGCTTTCAAACAGTAGTATAAATAAATCTAGGACACTATCCTAATATGTAACAAAAAAATTTATATATAAATGTCCTCAAAATACAGAATAAAATTGTGTACAATTCTTCTCCAAATAAAATTAGACTTACAATTGATTGTGGTTAGGTCCTTTAGTCCAAAAAGATATTAGTATTGATAAAATGACATATTGATTTAAAGGTGCTTTTGTTGAATAATTTAGGGCTTTTTGCTAGAAAAAGCAAACGATTTGAGTCTAGTTTAATAGATATTGTCAATAGACATTGTTGATAATAATATCCCGTCACTTAAGAATAAAGAAACCCAAATTCTCTTACCTAGAAATTAAACAGCCCCTTTGAAGCCACTCTCACCTCATTATTACAATGATATCTGTAGATATCGGCACAAGAATTAGATTCAGTCTCCCCACTCTCTTGTTGTAGGTAAAATCATCAATTATGCCTAATAATGAACCACCCGCAAACAATATGTATATTGAGATGTATATATGCATGAACATTAATTTACTATTTTAGATAATTACACATGTGTTGTGGTTATGTTTTGTTTTAGCGAATTGGAGACTTTATGCTGCAACAAGACTTTTGGAGAGATTGATAGATTGAACAGTTATTTCTTTCAGTATTTAGAGCCTGTGCCAATATTCACAGATATCGTTGATTATATTGATTTGGAGAGAGATTATGAGGATTTCTTAGCTGTTGCTTTTTATAGATAAAAATCTTAAACTCTTAAAAACATTAATAACAATCATTGATTTTTCTAGATAAAAGCCTTAAACTCTTAAAAATAATAATATGATGATTACTCAAAAACAGTTTCTTAACAATGGTATGACACCATTATTTTACAAAAAACAATGCCTTTTCTGTAGGGTTGGATCGGTCCGGTCCTGGTCCCAAGGACTCAGTCTTTTTTCAAGACCGGACCAGGACCGGTCCTTGAGTCGGTCTTGAACCGATTTTAGGAGCAG